CCTGCCAGACTGGGGGAGGCCAGAAAGCAGGTGCCACTGGCCAAGTACTTACCTCAGAAGGCAGTGCCACTACCCACAACAGTGCAAAAGGAAGGGTGGCAGTGTATAGTATTGCCACTCTTCCATCTCTGCCATTGCTAGTGGTGACTCTGTCTTTCTAGCTGGGCAGACAGAAAGTCAGTGCTATCATCAGTAGCAGCCCTGCCAGACTGGGGGAGGCCAGAAAGCAGGTGCCACTGGCCAAGTACTTACCTCAGAAGGCAGTGCCACTACCCACAACAGTGCAAAAGGAAGGGTGGCAGTGTATAGTATTGCCACTCTTCCATCTCTGCCATTGCTAGTGGTGACTCTGTCTTTCTAGCTGGGCAGACAGAAAGTCAGTGCTATCATCAGTAGCAGCAAAGAAGAAAGGGTGGCATAGCATGGTATTGTTTCCCTTCCTTCAGTGCCACTGCTGATGGCAGCACTGAATTCAAAACAGGGTGGCTTCAGAGCGAGAGCTTCTGGCCAAGCACCTAGCTTGGAAGGCAGCAGCACATCACAAAGGGTAGCATGTTATGGTATTGCTGTCCTTCCTTCTGCGCTACTGCTGGTAGCAGCTTTCTCTTCTAATCTGGGCAGCTGGAAAGGCAGTGCCACCACAGCAGCGGCAGAGAGGAAGGGTGGCATGGTATGGTATTGCCTCCCTTTCTTATGTGCCACATGGCAGCAGCCATACCTTCTAAGGGGGGTTGCTGGGAATTGGTAGCAACTGGTCTGCCTTCCAGCCTTGATGGCAACCTTCCACCAGCAGCAGAGCAGAAGGAAGGTGGCATTGTCTGTGCAGATGGAAGTGTGACAATACCATACCATGTCGCCCTTCCTTCTATGCCACTGCTTGGGGCAGCACTGCTTTACATGCTGAGGGACTGGAGAGCGGAGGTTACACCCAGCATGGAAGTCAATGCCACTGCCAACAATAGCACAAAAGGAAGGGTAGGGTGGTATCTTATTGCCATGTTTTCCTCTTCACTGCTGCTAGTGGCAGTGCTGCCTTCTGTGCTAGGCAACCACAGAGCAATGATCTCTGATCACATGCCCAGCTCAGATGACAGCGCCACTGCCAGTAGCAGCACACAAGGAAGGGTGGCATGGTATGGTATTGCCACCCTTCCATCTGCACTGCTGCTGGTGATGCCACTGCCTTTGGATCTGGGCAGCAGCGGAGCTGTGGCTGCTGGCAGGTCACCCAGCTCAGAAGTCAGTGCCACCACTAGCAACAGTGCAGAAGGAAGTTTGGAATGATATGGTATTGCCTCCCTTCCTGCTGCACTGCTGCTGGTGGCAGGGCTGCCTTCTGAGCTGGGTAGCTGGAGAAAAGTGGGGCTACTGGCCAGGTGCCGATCTCAGAATGTAAAGCAAAATTCCAATAGGCTCCATTTTGGGCACAGACGCCATCTTGGAGTTCTGAAACAACAACCAGACTCCAACTTGGTCGTCCTTCGTCTTCTCATTTTTCCCGCCTTTCCCACGCTGTGGCTGGAAAACCCTGTGGTCACATGGCTATAGTCTGCCCAGAGACAGCAGACATGTAACTGCAGTCTGCCCGATGACAGCTTACTATATAAGGGTTACCTCTAGCTTAGCTCGGGGCTGCCCATCTGTGTGGCGGTGTATGCAGTCACTCAACTTGGGGCCATGCCATGCATCCTCCTCCCTCTCCAGTGCTCTGTCGGTATCACGTCATAGGATTTCTGGGTTGGGTAGCATGCCTCACAAGCAAGGAGTATGCAGCCACATGCCATTCCTCTTTGCGTTCGTTCACACTTGCCGCCGCGATGACGCAAGGAAGGGAATAATTGGGGAGAAGTCTGTCATCGCTGCTATCCAGTTGCTCTTCCTACTTTTCCTGAGACGAGATCAGAATCGGGTGGCTGGGGCAAGACAAGCTGTGAAAGATGGTACTGTGCCAGTGATCACTCTTCTGATCACCTTTTTACCTTGGCTATCTTAGGTCGCAGTCTAGCTTTTATTTGTTTTTGCTATATTCCTGTGTAGTGGGGTCCTTAAAATCCTGTTAAATAGTTACTTGCCTGTTTATCTTTCCCTGTTATACTGTTATAATAAAAACCTGTTAGTTTACCTCATCTGTTTATCTTAATTATTTGAGAAATTGTGACCCCCCCTCTGATATAGATGCAAGTGTGGGGATGGACCTAATAGTTCTGATAGTTGGTGTTCTTTAGGCCAAGGGATTTCCAGCTAACAAGAAGGCAGTGCCTTTGCCAGCAGTAGTGCAAAAGGAAGGGTGTCATTGAATTTTATTGCTACTCTTCCTTCTGGACCATTGCTGGTGGCAGCTCTACCTTTCAGGCTGGGCAGATGGAAAGGCAGTCCCATCACTGGTAGTGGTGGAGATGGAAAGGTGGCATGGCATGGTATTGCCACCCTTCTTTCTGTGTCACTACTGATGGCAGTGTTGAATTCCAAACTGGGAGGCCACAGAACTGCAGCCTCTGGCCAGGCACCTCTGGAAGGCAGCACTGCCACCAGCAGCAGCACATAACAAAGGGAAGCGTTTTATGGTGTTGCTACCTTTCCTTCTGCACCATTTCTGCTAGCAGCTCTATCTTCTAGTCTGGGCAGCCGGTGGAGAGGGAAGGCTGGCTCGGTAAGGTATTGCCTCCTTTCCTGATGGCAGTGGCACTGCCTTATAAGGGGATGTTGGCAGCAACTGGTTAGGTGCCCAACCTAGATGGCTACCCATAAGGAAGGGTAATATGTTACAGTATTGCTGTGCTGCTGCTGCCAGTGGCTCTGACTTCTAAGCTGGGCAGCAAGAGTGTGCGGTAGCCAAGCACACAAGGAAGTCTGCCACCAGCAGCAGTACAGAAGGTCTGCTGCTGCCACCCTGACAATGGACCATTGAGACACTATAAGCTGCTACAGCCTACACTTCAATGCTTGCACACGCTGCAGAGTGATGCAGGGAGAGTAAAGGAATGACAGTGGACCCAAAGGAAATGATTAAAGTCCTGTTCACAACTCCTTTTGAAATTAATGGGAATTCTGGGCATGGAGCAGCTGCAGAATCAGGCTCTTCATCAGACTTCACATAGGCATCTCAGGCATATATACCATAGCCATACGAGTCACTGTTTGCAAATGACAATGGAGCTATTTAGCTATTTCCAGTCTGACACTCACAATACTTAGCTACCCAGACAATAGGTGGAAACAAAAGTAAAGGCAATTTTCTTATAAACTTTATTAGTTCACTGTACATTTAAAAACACACATAGAAATGGGAGGCTGAACAAATTGAACCTCTTACGTGCGGAGTACCTGGCCATGGGACCCACTTTGAAAAATAAAAACAAAACAAATATTTTGGCACCTAAACAAGGAGCCTGATTTTCCAGTGAGCTGAGCTTCCACAACTCCAGCTGGTGCTTTCCAAATCAAAATAGGGTCCAAAATTAGGCACACCAAAATAGAGGCTTCCCAAATTAGAGATGGCCTTTGATGCCTTCATATTTTTGATACAATGGGCTTAAACTACCCACCCCAATTTAACATCACTTGAAGTCCCCTGATTTTAATTAATTATACCAGTGTAAAACTGGAGTAATGCAGTCATGAATTAGACCTGGTATTTCTAGTTCTACTGATTGAATAGATTGATTTGCACTGTGCATCCTGTGGGACAGAGTCTACATCAGTATTCACACAGGGTATTGCCTTACTCTTCAAATAATTTCTTTAAAGTCAGTGGGGATATGGATGGAGTAATGGTACTATTCAATTTGAGGAAGGCTAAATAACCATAATCCTATGTGTGTGTATAGAGCCCATCCCACTGGGGCACTAATCTTGACTGGGGCCACTGGATGCTATCACAATACAAACAATAAATGTTGATTTGTGAGCTATATTAAACTGAATCTAATTAAAATTAATAAAATAGAACATCACTAAGAGCACTAATATTAAATTTTGTTGCAACCATTATTAACTATCTTTGGTTTGTGATTTCTTCATTTACTCCTAGCTGAACCTTAATCCTTAGCTCAAATCTACTCAAATAACCTCCGAAGAAAAGATTTTTTCAATGGAGTTGCTATTTTCATGGATGTTTTTCTGTGCAATGGTTTCATAGGTTGTTTTTTCACCGGCAGAACCTTCTTTGGTGTTTGCAGCCCTCTAGCAAGATCAACATGCTCATTACAGAAGTACTTGACATTTGCTTCTGAAAGGTGTATGAGCATGCCCTCAGACAGGTCCATGCACTGAGCATGGACCCAATGGCCATCTCCATTGGAACAGTAGATCATAGCTGGCTTGTTGAGTTCAGTTGAATAGAAAGGAACCCAAGTGTTGATGTCAATGTCACAGTTAGCCGAACAGGTGATCCAGTAGCCTGTTTCTGATTCATCTTCTTCATCATCTTCATTATAGGTGTCAATATCATCATCATCAAATCTATTGGCTTCAGCACTAAAACAGAACTCCTCTGAATCTTCAAATGGAGTGGAGTCCCCTGGGTCTTCTGTAGATGTCTGACTGCAAATTTGTGCTGCCTCCTCCTCATCTTCTTTTTCTCCTCCACATCTCAAAATGTAAAAGTAGTTTGCATCTGAAATTAGTTGCCTGTTGTCTCCTGGTATACCAAGCAAGATGGACCCATTGCTCATATCACTACCAAACCATATCTTGCAGTGTTTAATATCTGGTGTCCAGTCTGGGGTCTCCCTTTCTATAATCTTTATGTTGTTATCTTCTAAAGTGACTGTGTTACAAACCAGCCTCTTCTGGTTGTCACACTGGTAGCCCCCAACAATGACAAACTCTTTATCGCCAGTCTGAGTCACAAGCGCACTGGAGACAGAGATCCCCCCAGGCAAGACGGTGCAGCTCACAGCTGGGCTGCCTAGTGGCAGATCAATTTTCAGTCTGTACAGGTTGGGAGGTCTGATGTTATTTTCAAGGGAATGACCCCCTAGGATGTAGATGGTATCATTTCTGGCAATGGAGACATGGAAAGAAAGTCCATCCTGAAGCTCTGGAAGGATGTAAGATGTACAGCATCCAAACTCAAAATCAACCAAAAACACATGGGGCATACAGTCTACTACACTATTCCATTTTTCTGTGGTTCTTTGCCCAAGAGGGATATATGACCTTCCCCCAAATATAACACTCATACTTTTACCTCGGCTATGAACTATATTAATGGTATGGCCATATCTGGCTTCAGGAACATCCCCCACTAACTCTTTTTCAGTGCAAATAAAGGTGATTTTCTTGCTAGTCTTGCATACCATATCCAAAACATAAATCTTATCAGATAGTTCATTGTTTGGTGTTTTCCCACCGTGGATGACATACTGGCATTTTTCAGACTCTGTTTTGCCATTGAGAACACAGAGAGCAGGGTAACGGAGAGGGGGAAGATAGCAGGACTCCTTAGAGAAAAACGCAGGCTTCAATTTGAGCTCGTTTTTTTTTAAATCAAGGAGAAAAACTCCAGTGGGGCAGGATCTCTTTGGCCAGCCTTTTTGTCCAAAAAAGAAAACCCGCCCACCAAAATTCAGCAGAGAAAAGCCTGGCTGAATCAAGGATGAATTATTAATGACTGATATCATCTGCAGGGACATTATGTCTGATGTTTGCGTCATGGTACTGACAGTATCTGAAGAAAAAAAAAGACACAGAAAACCACATAAGACACACTTTAAACAATGTCAAGGTGATCAGCTCAGCAAATGACTGTTACCTTGGACAAGCCAGGCTAAATCTGTATCTCTCTTTCCCCACCTGTCAAATGGAGTGATGGTATTTACTCAGCCTTAAAACATATTCATACGGTGAATTTTATGTTTAGATAGGAACTCTGGGTTGGATTCCATGCTAAGACATGTAGCATATATGAAGTACCATTTACTCCATTAATTGGCACTACTCGTTTTAGCAAATACCCCTGGTGTGGATAAAGGGTCAGAACCAGGCCCTCTCTGAGCTCTTAGTATATATGTCGTCCATTTAAAGATCAAACTAAGAAACTAAGCTCAGCCTGATGGTTGCTGAAGGCTGGTTTTGTTGTATGTAATTGCTGCTGGTATTTCAAATGTTATTACAGGAGTTTCAAGGAGTCCTGTGGCACCTTATAGACTAACCGAAGCGTTGGAGCATAAGCTTTCGTGGGCAAAGACCCACTTCGTCAGATAGACCCACTTTGTCAGATGACATACATCTGACGAAGTGGGTCTTTGCCCACGAAAGCTTATGCTCCAACGCTTCGGTTAGTCTATAAGGTGCCACAGGACTCCTTGAAACTCCTGTAATAACATTTGAAATACCAGCAGCAATTACATACAACAAAACCAGCCTTCAGCAACCATCAGGCTGAGCTTAGTTTCTTAGTTTGATCTTTAAATGGACGACATATATACTAAGAGCTCAGAGAGGGCCTGGTTCTGACCCTTTATCCACACCAGGGGTATTTGCTAAAACGAGTAGTGCCAATTAATGGAGTAAATGGTACTTCATATATGCTACATGTCTTAGCATGGAATCCAACCCAGAGTTCCTATCTGAGCCCCAGTACTGTGCCCTGGCATCCGCAGAGTGGGTTTCAGGTAGGGGAGTTGCCAGGGCCGGGCGGTGAAGGGTTAAACTGCAGGCTCATGAGGTGGGAGCGGGGAGGAAGGAGGCTGCCGCGCGGGCTGGGCTCGGGAGATGCGCTAGGGCAGGGGGGGGAAATCTTCCTTGTGCCTGCCAGGAGCGGAGCCGCCGCCGCCCAGCTTGGGGGCGGGGCTGCCCGCTCGGGCGCTGGCGCTGCCTTTGCGCCTTGATTTGCCCAGGGCAGGGTGGGGGCAGGTACCACCTGCCGATGCTGCGCGCGCTCCTGGGCAGGCGGAGGGGGCATCGCCCTGAAGCGCCTAGGATGCGCGGGTGCCCCAGAGCCGGGTTTTGTCCTTGCCGTGTGTGGCACTGAAGAGTGTCGTGGGTGTGAGCAGGGAAGGGGGCAGAGCACAAGGAACCTCCATGCAAACTGGCTCAAGCAGTTCTCAGGATCTGGGGATCCCTCCCTCCCCTCCCGGGGAAGCCTATGGTCCGATTTCAGGGGTTCTGCCAAGCAGGGCCAGTGTTAGAGTCAGTGCGGCCCAGGGCAGAAAAGAAAGACCAAGTTCCACCACACAGAGTGGAAGCCCTTTACCGTCAGCCCCGCCACCTGAGGTTTAAGCCAAAGCCCTATCAGTTTAGTTTTGCAGGGCCCACCTATGTTGTGGAGCCCTAAGAGGCTACCCCCACGGGGTACGTCTATACTACAGGGTTTTGTCGACAGAAGCTTTGTCGACAGATACTGTCGACAAAGCTTCTGTCGACAAAGAGCGTCTAGACTACATTCAGTTCTGTCGACAAAGCAAGTTGCTTTGTCGACATAACAGTGTGGACGCAAAGGACAGTTTAGATGCAATAACGCCTTCTGTCGACAGAACTCTGTCGACAAAAGGCGTTATTCCTCGTAAAATGAGGTTTACCAGCGTCTACAAAACTGCTGAGTTCTGTTGATGTTATGTCGACAGAACTCAGCGGTAGTGTAGACGCAGGTTTAGTTTTGTCGACAAAAGTCCACTTTTGTCGACAAAACCCTGTAGTCTAGACACACCCACAGAGGCCTTGACTTTTATATGCAGAAAAACAGTTGCTATGACTGTGGAGTTTTTATAGCATGGGGGTGGAGGGTAAATCAAGAAAAAGGCTGAGACTGCTTGGTCTGGGTTACAGAAACTGAAAGACCAATAGGCTGGTGGGAAAATCCAGTTTTGTAGGTTTTTCCTTCTTTCCCTGGGCCAGTGAGTTTATGAACAGAGCATGGCATAAACATGATACAGGCCTATCCAGGCATCAGAAATATATCTCTTGCTTGCTTGTGGATTACAATTCATAACTCCCTATTCAATAATTTGTAGTGTGTGGGTGAAGGAACATTTCAATTTAGGCAATAAAAAAAGGACTTTTTTCTCCATACACAAGACCAGATGTACTGTAATTTTTTGTGAAAATTCATTTGAACTTTGAGAAATGTGAATTCACAATAAAAATACTGTAATGTGCATTTAAATGTGTGGGGTAAATTAATGTAGATTTAATGACACCTTGTAGGTACTATGAAGGCCATAGAGGGTGGTGGCCGTAATATTTCAGGGAGGGAGGAATTTGACCCATTTCCAGCCCATGAAAGCTTATGCCCATATATATGTTAGTCTTTAAGATGCCACAGGACTCCTCATTATTTGTATCAGACTTCTTGTGTTGAGTAGCTAATCACCTTCTGTTTGGTTTGAAAATCCTGTTATTTTTTGTTTGTTGTTATTTTATGTCCAATTTCTTTGTTGTTTGTTATTTGCCTTTGTCATTCACCGCCTGCTTATTTGAGACAGGTTCTACTGGAATGTTTCACATTTGCTTTCTTTATTCTAAAACTTGACTTTAAAATAGTGTGTTAATATACAAAACATGTTGGAAAATAACACTGAATGGTCCATTCTTCCATTCACCTCTGGGGATGAGAGAAATTTGAAATGAAAAAGACTGAGTAGTTTATTTGTAGCATCCGTTTTGTCATAACAGGATTGTGCCAACACAATTCAATTACAGAATCATAGAAATGTACAGCTGGGAGGGACCCTGAGAAATCAATCAAGGCCTGACCCTTGCATAGAGGCAGGATCAGTATATGTAGACTATCCCTCGCAGGTGTTTGTTTAACCTGTTCTTAAAAAGCTCCAGTGATGGGAATTCCATAAGCTCCCTTGGAAGACTATTTCAGAGCTTAGCTATTCCTCTAAATAGAAAGCTTTTCTCAACATCTAACCTAAATTTCCCTTGCTGCAGATTAAGCCCATTCTTGTCCTACTTTCAGTAGACATGGAGAGCACAGGTAGTTTGATTGAGGTGATGATAGACACAAACCCCTTGGCAGAAACAAAGCTTATTGGGTACAAAAATGTCTTTTGTTTTTCAGAAATATCCGCTGAGAAGTTTGGGATGTATAGTTTTTAGATAACAGCTTTTTTTTTTCTTAACTGTCCTCTTTGACAATAAATACTGTTTGACTGGTCATGTAAATCACATGATAATGTTTCTGCTCCCAATTGGATGATTGAAGCAATTTAAACAGGAGAATAATTAATAACAAATGTTTCTAATTAATATGATTATCAAATAAATAATAATTTGGACTAAAATTCTTAAAAAGTTTACTGCCCTCGTCTGTTTTCATAAATACCTGGTATATGTCTGGACACTAGCAAGTAATGACTTATATGACCCCATGAATCCTAGTGAACCAACTCAGCTTCTGGTCGCAAACAGATTTGCAAAGCACTGTATTTGCAATTTGAACAGCTTTGATTAGAATGTTAGACTGCTGACTCTCTCAGAGATCAGATCCCAGAGTAACATTGAGATTTAATTGGTAAATGCTCCCTTTGCTGTTTCCCAAATTCTCCCATCAGTCTGAAATCATTGGTCTCTTGGCAGGAACACAGGTGCTTAGTACAGGGATTGAAAGCTACTTTGCAAGATTATATTTGTTTTCCTCTTTGATGATCCTGCCATTGCAGCATTTTGTTCAATAAGATTAATCCAGGGTCTTCTGAGAGAGCTGGGGCTAATTCCCCACAGCACCCCCCCGAGACTTGTAGACTGAGCAAATGTGGCTCCTAAATTCTTTATGATCAGATTCCCATCTGGACACCCTTCTCCCTCCAGGCAACTCTAGTCTAAACTAGCCATCTACTGAAGCACATAAATAGCATTTATCAAAGCTTTCTCTAATTTTGGCTCCCAGAGTTTGCTTGGGTAAGACAATAAACATATTAGACCTACCTGGCTGACGGAGGGATTTTGCTTCCTCCTGAAACCTTTGTTTGTAGCTGGGATTCAAAAGTCAGCACTTATGGAATCTTCTGTGACTGCACACGGGGGCTGTGGCATGGGCCAGTAAGCAGGCAGAGGGTATGTATGCTTAGATTGCAGATGTGCTCCTTAGTGCTCCTCTGATGTGGCTAACTGCCTGTGACCGTTTTTTTTTCTTCTTCAGATGGTTCAAAAAGAAATCCATCTTGCATCTTTAGAAGTTTAACCTATTCATGCCTAGCCAACTCAGAGTGGCAGTGGACAGCTGCTATTTAGATTGTAAATGCATCATGGGGAGTGGAGGGGTGGGAAAGGATTGATGCTGTATTTTACTTGATGTTTGTACGGTGATGACCAGCTTGATCTGCTTTTGGATACTACTGTGTTACAAAGTCACTGCTAAATTCAAAGACAACATTTGGAATTTTAATTTATATAAACTTAAAATACCCCAACCCTACACTTTGACTGGGATCATTTTTTCCCCTTTGGAATTCTTAGGCTATAACTAGATTGTGACATTGAAACTGAATAAAGGAAGTGTTAAGTGCATGCAGCCCAATAAGTGAAGGCTGACTAAAGCCCTGATTCAAAGCCCATTGAAATCAATAGAAGACTTTAAAGGCTTTGGACCAGTCTCTTGAAAAAATATGAGTGCTCTGCAAACTTCGGTGGCACTTTTCACCAGAGTTCCTCAGAACATTTTTCATACAAACCATAATTAAGCCTCCCAACTCCTCTGAGGAGACATCCCTCTTACAGATGGAGCAATTGGGGCAGAGAGAGAGAGTAAGGGTAAGATAATTCGAATTAGCGCATCTAGATTTAAAAACTAGTTCAAATTAGCGTTTTGCTAATTCGAACTAGCGCATCCACACCGATTGGACGTTGGGGCGCATTTAAGGGCAGCTGAAACCGGTTCCGGCAGGGCATCAGGTCAGTAGTTGCTTTGTGTGGCTGCTGTCTGAGGCTATCTGAGCCTTGTGCTTAAAGGGACCCCCTGTATAGCCGGTTCTCAGCTTTTCCGCTTGCTTGCCCACCTCGCCGAGGGACAGCAAAGCGTTTTTCTCTGCGCCTGCCTGTGTCGGTGATTCCCACTGGGGACGCCGCCGCAGTTGGCAGTATGGAGCCAGAACTCGCCCTGGGCATTCTGCTCCAGTTCTTGGACTTCCTGCTGCAAGCCTGCCAGCAATGGCTGAAGGCTGCCTGGCACCACCTGGTGCATGTCAGCCCCCTGCCTCTCCACCTGGCCTCCCTGGGAGCTGTGGAAGAACTGCAGTAGCGCCCGGACGCCAGCGTGCCCCACCGCATCTGGCGTCTGGACACCAGCAGCGACTGGTGGGACCACATCGTCCTGGAGCGCTGGAGAGACAGACAGTGGACTCAGAACTTCAGGATGAAGAGGGACACCTTCCTGTAGCTCTGCGAGTGGCTTGCCCCTGCTCTGCAGCGACGGGACACTGTGTCATGTGGCTCCCCCACCCCCCAGCCACTGGGCCGGGGGGGAGGGGCACTATAAGGAGGGAATGGGCTGCCCCAGGAAAAACGAGGGCGGGAGAGGAGGCGACAGTGCCCCGCACAGGAGGGTTCGATCTATCCCAGCTGTACTACACGCCGCCTGTGGTGGCCAGGATCACAGCAGGGGTCGCTTGGGCAGTGCCAGGGAACGAACACTCCCAGCCACCCAGGTGCCCCAGTGATTTGCAGTTTGCTGTGTCCCTCTGCAGGTGATCAAGGCCATCAACCGGGTGCTGCTCCGCAGGGTGGTCCGCCTTGCCGACCCAGATGCCGTCATCTGGGGGTTCTGCGCCTTCGGCTTCCCCAACTGCGGGGGGGCCATCGACGGGATGCACATCCCCATCCACGCCCCGGAACACCAGGCCTCCCAATACATTAACTGCAAAGGATACTTCTCTGTGCTCCAACAGGCCGTGTGTGACCACCGGGGCCAGTTCACGGACATTAATGTGGGCTGGTCCGGCAAGGCACATGATGCCAGGGTGTTCCACAATTCCTCCGTGTGCCAGAGGATGCAGGCTGGGACCTTCTTTCCCGACTGCCACATCAGGGTCGGGGACATGGACATGCCCGTCTGCCTGGTGGGGGATGCGGCCTACCCCCTACAGCTCTGGCTGATGAAGCAGTACACGGGGCACCTCAACCCCTCCCGCGAGGCCTTCAATGCCAGGCTCACCAGGGCCCGCATCTGATCGAGGGGGGCCTTCGGATGCCTGAAAGCCAGATTTAGGTGCCTCCTCACCCGCCTTGACCTCGCCGAGCACAATATCCCTCCCATGGTGGCAGCATGTTGCGTGCTGCACAATTTGTGCAAGCGGAAGGGGGAGGCTTTCCTGCCAGCCTGGATGGCTGAGGCTGACTGCATGGCTGGCCCCTACAC